TCACTCATATACTTTTGAATACTTTTTAAATTTTTTTTAAGTTCTGAAGGTGTTCAGCCACACAATTGTTGTTCTAGTGTCCCTGCAATGTTGTTTGCTTGGGGCCATGAAGAAATATTCTATTGCAGCGGATATTGATGTATGAATCCTGCTTTTTCCTTTTAGACTTAGAATTGTGTTACGGTAACAGGTGACTTTTTATGGTGTTATTACTTGATATGGGGTTACTTTTGCTTACCTGAGAAGTCCCACTGACTGGGATGAGCTATTTCTGGGAGTAATTGCTAATCTGTAGGAACAGATATCACACAAAAGAAAGTGTTGATGGAGGTATTTCCTTTCCTAAGATGTGGGGCACTGCTAACAGCCCGGCTTTTATCCTGTTGTGAACGAGGACAATCATGAGGATAATTCTCTTGGAGATCACATAGCAGGGCTGCATGTTAATAAGTAAAACTACCTCAAGGAAAGGTGGACCGAGCTGAAAGGTCGTCTTTTTGCTGTGTGGTAGTCAATGCCTGTGTTTCAAAGCCTCACTGTTAGTCAGAAGCTTCTCAAGAATACGCATTTATGTTATCTTCTGTGAAAGGCTGTATGTGTGTAACTAGCGAGAGGGTGTAGAATTAAAAAAATCAAACCCCACCAGCTTCCAGTGTCTCCTGGCTCTCCCGAACACCATGAATATTGGCACTTGATACTGGGAAAGAATTTGAAACTGAAACTGCTAATGAGATTGATGAACTCAGTTCAGCACATTTGAAAATTAGTATTGTACTCATTCCTAGGCTTTATTTTACTCAATTAAAAATGACTCCTTAGTTTCTACTGGCCACGCCTCTGAAATATGTCCCAACAGGCAAGTCATTATATTCCAACACCTATGTGCTCGCCAATCATTAAGTTTTGATAATCGCACTCTCCCAGGTTTTAGTTCTCCTGTGCTTTATCTCTTCCCTTTGATTAGTTGCGTCTGTCGTTACGTCTTCCCCGGTAGGATACCCAAGCTTTGTGTTCACACGGTGTTTCAGTCACTTAAAGACAAGTCGAACGTGTTCGGAGTGGCCTCTGGGATGGTCAGGGAGGGGGCAGGAGGAGTGAGACCTGCCCGATGCATCTGATGTTTGTCTGGCACCAGGCTGCTTCCCCCGGGGAAAACTGAGATGCTCTGGACCACATGTGGAAGTGGAACTGGAGGAATGAGGAGCCCTTGGGCCGCAAGTGCTGTTGTTCACTGTGCTTCCGTAACTCTCCTGCAAGTCGGTATTTCAGCAGAGGTTTTTGCTGTTGATATCAACACTGAGCCTCTATTTAACCCTACTTCGAACACCTTAGTGCTTTTTTGGTTGCTTTGCTCCTTATTCTAGATGGAGCTCCGTGTTTGACAAGTATCATATATTCCCATATGGCAACTGTAGTAATATCTGACAAATTGACAAGTTCTCGGGGACTGGAGACTGCCAGTGCTACAAGGAAGGCTGTGTTATCCTGGAAAGAGCGAAGGATTTGAGGAGCCCATTCTGTCCGACAGCTCCTGAAGAGACTTGAGTGTCTTCTCAGGTTCATTTCAATGAAAACTCAAAAATAATAAAATCAGCTGGAGAACAACGTACCATAGATACAAAACTGACCAACAATCTTGCAAAATAGCCTTGAAAACACCTTGATTACTTCTGTGGCTGGAGACTTGTCTCTCCCTTGCGGACAGTAGAATCTTCTTCCAGACTCAGTGCAGTAGCAGAGCAGTACTGTAGAGCCTTTCCATTTTACTGGTAGATTTGAGCGAGCTTATTTCTGCCTTATAAATTTTTTCCCACATGCATATGTAAAACTTGCCCATTGCTCACTTGATTAGTGTGTCTTATGTTAACTGCAGGTTGCAGCCTGCTAAAAATGCCCGAAGGTAAATTTCTTTTCCGTATAGTTTCAAGTCTCCGCCCTCAAATATTAAAAAAGGGGTTTTCCTGGGAGCATGACGTAGGAGGCTTATGCGTTTTGCATCTACAGCACTTTTGCAACCGTTCTGTTGTGAGGAGCTGAGCAAGGGAGCTTTCAGCTGCCTCTTTTGTATTGGGGTAACAGACTGTCCATGGAGGCGAGTAGCTCAGCAGGAGTGACCTTGCTGCGCTTCTCACCTCTGAGATGGCCACAGGGATGAATCCAAAAGTGCTAAGTTGGGGGGAAAAAAACCTGATCAATCACCAGTCATTGAGATTAGGCCAATACAGGTCTTTAATACGATAACACGATGCATACTAGAGCTTAAGTGCCTTTACAAATATTGTGGAGGTTTCTCTTCAGACAGTGCCACTCCACAAAATAAAAAATATCTGACCGGAATCTGTTAATTTTGGTGAAACCCTTGGGAGAAAATATTTATTATTACATTATTGAACCAAACTCTTCAGGCATTACTGATAACTTTCAGTGCCCCCTTTCTAAGTTTCTGAATCACAATTTCTTAGCGTTTCCTTTCCATTAAGCCTTTAATGAAAATGAACTCATGGCTTGAGGTCCAAATGGAGTAGATGCATGCTTCCTGCTGGCCTGTTGAAGGGCAGCAAGGAACGTCCCAGCTGGGCAGGAAAGGCACAAAACCGATGAAGAAGGAAACTGGATCCAGGAAGGAGGATGTATAAAAGATCATCTCCTTTTCCCGTGAGCAAAATCTCACCCCTCGCTCTGATGGGATCAGCAGGGTTGAAAGAATCCATGTTGTATCTCCATGGTCTGAGGCACACAGACTGTTGGATGGGGGCCATCAGAACTAGGCAAGCCAGTGTTGGCACGAGGCCTCTTAAGTAATTATTTGTGTTTTGCTATAACCCCTGACAGCCTGCTCCCATACTCTGAAGCCTCAGATGCCTACTTTGGGAACAATTACCTTTTGTCTCTGTAATTTGCTTTGCCTGTGCCCTTGACAACATCATCATTGCCCTTTCATCCTGTCTTCTGAGCAGGAGGGCCGCTTCTTGCCATACCTTCCCTCTAGATACACTTCCACCTTGCTTACAGCTGGCACAGAGTGAAAGAATTTCTCACCAGATGGAGCATGCTGCCATGCTTTCAGGGGTTACTTGAATAATGATTGGTTTGTTTTTGTTGGTTTTTTTTTGTTAAGTTAGGGGTAAATTTTTGTTCTAGATCACCTGCAGTTCAGTTCACCACCAAGGAAACTGGCTCACTCGTTAGCGCTTGGTCTTGAAATCGAGGCAGATGCTTTCTTAAGCAGAAAGCATTAGTTTAAATGTGAACTGCGGGGCTTGATTCTGCTCACCTGTAGAGGAGAGGTTATTTCCTGCTGCTGCAGGAGCAAAAATTTTCCTCTTTACTTCATCTGTCAGTCTATAGCAGTCCTCTCTGGCTTTCTGATCCTCTCTTCTAGAGAGCATAATGTGGCTGTGGAGTTCTGGATGGAACTAATTACATGCTGCTGAGCGATGGGTAGGTGGTGTAGGTGATCTTCCTCCGATCCTGAAGGCCAACACGGTATGGAGGTTTGGTTTGGTTTGGGTTTTTTGCTTGGGTTGGCTGTTTTGGCTTGGGTTTTTTCCCTTTCTTGCATGTGTTACTGCCCTTTGGTTACCTGGTGGTTGGCTGTAGCTGTAGGGAAGCTGCTGTGCTGATGCTGGGGAAGAAAAAATGTGAGGAGGATGTTTGTGTCAGCCAGCAAATACAGGTGCATAGTCCCTCACTGCCATTTGTGGCTTTGTGGGAAGGTACTAGCATCCTTGTCATGGCCATCTAATGCCCACTGGCACATGCCTTGTTCTTCCGAGGTGCAGAGTAGGTTCATAACACCACAGTGGGTACCATGCTGGAGAAGGTCCAGCAAAGGGCTACAGAGATGATGAGGGGACTGGAGCATCTTTCTGATGAGGAAAGGCTGAGGGACTTGGGGCTTTTCAGTCTGGAGAAGAGAAGACTGAGGGGGATCTTATCAATGCTGATAAATCCTTCAAGGGAGGGTGCCAGGGGGATGGGAACAGTCTGTTTCCAGTGGTGCCCAGTGACAGGACAAGAGGGAACGGGCACAAACTGGAGCATCGGGAGTTCCATCTGGACCTGAGGAGGGCCTTCTCTGCTGTGAGGGCGGCAGAGCAGTGGCAGAGGCTGCCCAGAGAGGTGGGGGAGTCTCCCCCTCTGGAGCCATCCCAAACCCGCCTGGACGCCGTCCTGTGCCACTGCTGGAGGTGCCCCTGCTCTGGCAGGGGGCTGGACAGGATGATCACCAGTCTGGGATTTTATGGCGCAAGTGCCATGTAGCTGCACTCACAGGCATACCCCAACAGCAGCCGTGTGTAGTTTGATTCCTGACACAAGCACCTCCACAGAGAAGATGTGTTGGTCTGTGGGCAGGCAGGCACAGCTCCATCAGCTTTACATGGAGCATCCTTGTGTGCTCTTGGTGGGTTTGTCTGTTAGCCTTGCAGGACAGCAAGAATTACTCCTGCACTTGGGATCTTTTGTATTTTTGGCTCTCAGCTAGGGCAGACATTATTTTGAACTATGTGATTCACGTCAGGTAGGTGGACATGTCTATGTGCAGCTGCCCTTGCTGCTTGATCTTCTCTGGATGGGAGAAAACTTAATTTGTTTTTAGATTGATGACTGTTTTTTTCCAGGACTCGTGCATATTGGACGTGGCGAGGATGCGGGCATCTCTCACGTTCCTTCTTGCTCCGGATCTCTTTATCCTATTCTGCTATTGCAGAAGATACGGATTAAGAAACAGAACGCACTCATCATATGCTTAAATAACCACACCAAATACGTCCACTTCACCGCCATAGCTGTGTTTGTGTTAGCTAAGGGCAATACCCAACATCTGATAATAGCACTGGTGCAACCGAATGGAAAACGTGGGTATCTCACTGTTCCTAGGAACTGTTCCAAATTGTTTGCTGGGTTTTCAGCATGTTAAGGTTACCATTAATGGCCTTTTTTTCCTCTCTTCTTTTTTACCCCCAACTGGATGAACAGGGTGTTCAGTAAGCGGAATTCATAGTAATCCAGGGTTGCTTTCCAAAGGAAAAGAAAAAAAGGTTACTTAGGTACCTCGGTTATGCTGCTGGTTGGGAGATGGGATATCTCATCTCTGGCAGAGCTGAGCTGCCTTTGGTTTGCTGGTGGTTATCTCTGCATTTCTAGCTGAGATGTCCCGGTGGTAACTGGCTGGCAGGGTGTGAGCCCAGTGGGTGGCTGGGCTAGCTGCGAGGAACCGGCCCTCGGGGGCTCGAACCGCCCTCGGGCGAATGCAAATCCAAGTGCCGCACTCCGGGGCTGTGGAGTGAACCCAGAACAACGCCCTGCCGCAGGCGCGATTCCCCCTTCAGCGATACTCATCTCCCCAACTGCTCACCCCTGGAATCTTGACCCCACTGTGGTTTTTCTTTTTCCTCTTCAAATGCAGAAAACGCGTTAGACACACAACTTTCACATGGTCAGAAACGGAGCGCATCCCAGGAGTGGTACCTCCAGTATAGTTTTACTTTTAGTCATCTTGAGTTACACAGAGAGAATGCCACAGCCGGTGACTCTGCAGAGTTTCAACATACACTTAATCCTAATAAGGAGGGAGAGGCTGTGGCTAACAGGTTGTTTTTAATCTCATTTCATTTCTAAACAAGTTGATAGCCAGTTCTGAATCACGATCTCGGAAGAGAACTCGGTGCTTTTGTCAGGCCCAGCATTATTTACAGGAACGTTTTTGTTTCCCCCTGGGGAGATAGTGACCCACAGACACTGAAGTCACCCAAAATCCAAAGCAAACACGTGCTATCTCATTTTATTTCAAATTCATAACTCGGATCAGGATTATCAAAAAGGTTAATTTAGTTTATATACAGTTCAGATTGGCTTTGGAAGAATATTGAACTGTTTCTTGAGGTGTCCTGGTTTTGGGTGGGTTTCGTCTTGTTTCATACTGAACTGGCCTGAAGGTTTGCATTCGGCATTGGGGTTTGGCTGCGCGAATCCAGAATTCACAGGCGGCCCGTGAAAGGAGTGTTTTCCCAGATTTCTAAAATAGAAGGCTCCAGGAGAACTTGGTGCACAGGGTGATAAAATACAATCCGATTTTACCTTTCAGACGCTGTCCCCCACTCTTCTCACTCCTGGTATACCTCTCGGTCGTGGCCAGGGGGAGCGGTGCCAGGTAGCGCTTTACTCAACAAAAAACATCTCACTGGTTGGGGACAGAGAGCGCGTTTGTCACGGTGTGGATCTGGAAGA